AGAAAGAACTGGAGAAAATCACAGAATGCAAAGACCTGTAAAAAGAAAGCAAAGATAGAACCAATAGTAATAGACACTTTGGGTGCAATCCAAAAACATCTGGAGCACCACTTGAAAATCCTCAGCACTGACAAAATCATCAGTCAATTACAAAAGGCAGTTTTACTTAGAACAGCTTACATCCTGCAACAATACCTTTAACACCATCAAACAACAACATCTGCCTATCCCAGATCCTTGGGAAGGACTTGATAGGTGGATTCTAAACATCTTGCTGACTGTGCGAGCAACAATAATTGTTTGAAGTGGTTAAAGATTCTGTTTCCTATCCCTCCACCTTCTGTTGCTCCACCACAAGTTAGACCATTGTGGAAAAACAGACTCCTAGCCACTTCCTCAGATTGCTAAAGCACTTGTCAATGTCTCCTCTCTTAACCCCAGTTGTGGCTTGGCTATTAGTAAGAGCTTTAAAAGAAGAAATGCACCTTCATGGGACAAACTGGGATATATACTTGCAACAAATTTGCATGTGATAATATCTAGATTTCAAGACAAATTTATAAATAATTGCTAGAATTAAATCAGAACAATGACCTGTTTCACCCTAATGAGACGACTATGTGATTGCTTACTCTCCTATCCAGGTATTAGCTGTTGATAGGCACTTCCAAGTCCTTTGCTCTCCCTCCTTCTGCTGGTTCCTTATCTTTAAACAGAGTCTTTTAAAGGCTGTGACAGGGAACAGAATCTTCATTTCAGTCTTCTGCCATTAGTAAATCTGTGTCAATCCCCGCCCCCGCCCCCCGCTGCTCCCGATTAAAGTCAGATGCCTACCAACTGGGAGGTATGAGGATAAAAACTATTGAACAATCTGATCATTGTAAAGCTTGAATCCTACTTTTTAAAAAAAATTAATTCTTATTGGATAATTTTTTTACAGACTAAAAGCAATATAAATTTAAAAAAAAGAAAAAGGAAAGTAAGATAAAGTGATAAATAAATAAAAAAGAAAAGACAAAAAGAAAAAGAAAAGAAAGATATAAAGAAGCGGCTTCTGATTTTCTTTACAGCAATTACAAATACATGTATATTTTATCTTCTCTCTATATAGTTATATCGTGGCTCCCTTCTTCCCATATTCTATCCTTTCTAATCATCAAACCCGTTTGTTTTTTTCTGTTTTCAGCAAAAAGTACATAAAGAGTTTCCAGTCACTAACAAATGTAGTGGTTGTCTTTTCCCTAATCTAAGTCAATGTTGCCATCTCTGCAAGTTCTGTCACCTTCACCAACCATTCTTCCAGCTTGAATCATACTTTGGATGGGGTTTTCTCTGTATGTGGAGGTCAGTGTAATGGCCATGCTTTGCAACAGAAAGGTTTCAGATAAAAGAGAATACCAAATTGAGGACCACTCTGTGTAAAATAGGACTCACGGTTGCCCTTCCATTCCCAACCCTGGACACATTATGAACCATGATATCTCACTCCAAATATCTTCTCATAACCTCTGTTTTTCAGATAATTGTGAAATCCTTTGCATGTTTCTTGGAAGGTGGGTGTCCAAAGATGTCCAATTACTATCCAGAGCAGTGTTTCTCAACCTTGGCAAGTTTAAGATGGGTGGACTTCAACTCCCAGAATTCCCCAGCCAGGCTCTAGAGAAACTGGGTTTTGTCCTTCGTTCCTAGTGAGAAGACAGCTGTATATTTAGAAAGATCCCTGGAAAAAAATCAAAACAACAGTGTTAATTTTTATTCCTTCCATTCCTTTAATCTGTTTACCATGTTTAATGTCTCATTTGAGATTCTGTAACCATCCACATATTATCTGCAATGAATTCAGACAACTTGTTACGCACAGAACGAAAGGTGATAATCTCACTACACGCAAGGACCTTTTTAAAAAATTTTTTACCAATGAAGCCTCATGCCCTTAGAAATGAATTGATAAACTATTCTGGGCAGTTACTTGTATGTATGTGTACTGAGCTACCACTTGATGCAAGTGTCAAAGGAACAGTGATCATTTGACTTGATGTGGTTATCTGGATTAATATGCTGAAAGGAAAGAGATGAGAACCTCACAAAGAATGAGAGAACAACATCTGCGTAAAAAGCTCCAGAATAAAATGGTGGGAAAAAGATTTCCTCTTCACTACCACCCCTAATATAGAGTTAGATTGATTCATTGTATGAGAGCTTAATATTTCACCTTGGTATATATCCACTTACAGCAAGTATAATACTTAGGATACCCTTATAAATATTCCTATTGGTATTGAAAAAGTATGGATCCCAAAGACAAATCTTTTGGATCTGTATGAAGGTTTTCCATTTGTCCATTTGGATCAGGCCGTAGTCATAATTAATTTCCATCTACCCATTTTGATCAGTTACGGTTGTAGTCTTCTGTTAATTTTGAGCAATATATTTCTTTGGACCAAATGTGATTTATTTATGAATTGGTATCTATAGCCTTGCACTGAGTGGGACATACACAGGAATACCAAGTTGGATCAATTTTTTATGGGATTTACATTGGTATAAATTGGTCTTTGTATTTTAATTTCAGTGGGTCTACTTTAAATATGATCTTCCCAGTGACTGCACAGTCAGTAAAAGCAATAGTAACATTTATGGTTATGAAAAAAACATTGTATAGTATAGAAGCATTATAGACTTGCATGCACATATAATTTCTCTGTATTTGAAATAATGGAACAAATAATTTGAGTTTACTCAGATGTCTTGCTTCATCATTCCACACAACAAGATAAATAAATAAACCCTTTTTAGTTTTTAAATCAAATAATTGTTGTACGATGTATAATAAAAAAGATTAACATCAAAGAGTCAGTTGCTGCAAGAAATTGCAATAGAATGTACAATGCATGGCTTGAAAAAGCAATAATTGGTCATGGATTGTGGCCACAAGCCATGATAGCCAGAAGCGCAACAATCATGCTTAGGGGTAGTAGCAGATACCAAAGACAAATGACAGGACCTCTGCAGCTTGTGAATATCTCTTGGTCATCTGTCTGTCAGAGATTGCAAACTGAGAGAGAGGGATGATAGGTCCGACAAAGAAAAATTAAACAGCGTGTAGAAGGAATGAGAGAAAAACTAAAATACTTTATCTATGATACATATATAAATGCACATGTGTGGATTATTAAATAATAGTTAAAGCCTATGTAAATGAGAAAGACATGGCAAACAGATTAATTTAGTTGCATATATGGGAATGAGGGCAACCCACTTCTCTGTGTATCTTCATTACAGACGACAAGTGACAGAAATAAACCCTAAATCTGTGGGAGGCAGGAGGGGGAGGCTAGGGTGAGATCTCTTGAAAGAAACAGGCAAGCATTTGAGTGACACATGGGTCTGTGGACACTCGGCCTCCTCTCGCCTCCTCCCCCCATCCCAAGCCAACCATCCTCCTGGCTTCTCCCTTCAAGTCAGCAAAAATACCTTCTCTCCGCAGAAGGCCATATGTGAGTTGGTGGATGAAGTGATGTCAGCGCTAGTCACCCAATGGGGGCCCACGGAGAATGTCCAAGGATCTGGTCCTCAGGCTGCCTCATAAGGACGTGTGCCAGCCTCAGAGCTTGGTGAAGGCTTCTGTACAACAACGGGTCGCCGGGCTTTCCCTCCATCGTTGGATACTGTGCTCCAAGGACCATGGTCTGCTGAGAAATTGGAGGAACTCAACGGGGGCACGCGTGACACTCCATTGAACATACAGCAAGGGAACAGCAGAAGCAGGCCAAGCCGGAGGAAGTGGGGAGCGGCTTTAAACACAACGGGACAGCTGCGGTAGGGCAAAAATGGAGAACGCCCATGCCAAAACAGCAGAAGAGTGCCTGGCTTACTTTGGAGTAAGTGAGCATACAGGTCTCTCTCCTGAGCAGGTGAAGAAGAATCTGGAAAAATATGGACCCAATGGTGAGTGCTTTCTAAAATCATGACCCTTTTGGTACCCATGTGGCCAGGTGCCAGGATTCAAGGAGGCAGGGGGATGGAGAGCCAGAGAGCTGAAAGGATGTGCAAAGCAAGGTAGATATGAGAAGAAAAGAAAGCAAAAGTCATATAGCTAGAGTTGGACAATGATGGACGTGGATTCTAGCATGTAAGGAAGGACAGAAACAATAAGAAGAGATGAAAGAGGAATCAACATTTGTCAAAGAAAAATTGTTACGTAATTATTGGAAAGCAGGAAGGAGGTGATAGAGATGGTCTAGTGGAGTCTGAAGTTGGCCATGGAAGGTGAATAAGAATGAAGGTAGAAGCAAAGCACAAGAGGGAACATTGAAGACTGCAAAGTTGGGGGGAGGTAGCCACGCTGGGGACAGGGCAGCTGCTGCTGCTTTGCTAAGAATAACTCAGTAAATTCCCTTTGGTATGAACGAGATATCAAAATTGCTGATGGGCAACTTGTAGAAGCAGCCGGGAGGTAGAAATGAGAGAGAGGTATTGATATTACACAGCCAGTGAAGAGAGCTGGCTAGGTGCTGGGTAGATTTGAGAGGAGTTTACAAAATGTAATAGTTTGTTGGTTGAGATGGTGTGTGAGTGGGTGGATATGGAGAAATTAGGCTTGTTTTGTGAGGGGTGGAACATAACATGCTGCCAAAGATGCAAATGACTGACAGGACAGTGTAATTTCCTAATTTTATAACGTCCTCCAAGGTTATAGGGAAAGGACAGAAGTTCTGGACTCCTCAATAGGACTATAGCAAGAATTCGATCATATGGGATTGGAAATGTGTGGATGTGCTATTTTGTGGTACACGCATGAGTATGTAGCTGCTCTAAATGACCCCAGTCTGTACCTTCCTATCTCCTTGTGAAGTCCTACCTCTAAGGGTTTCTGATCCTCCACCCAGTTCTGCAGTCACTTAGGCCCAAAGGTTTACAAATTGAACTCAGTAGAAGGCCTACTCATTTCTGCAGGGGTGTCCATATCCACTTCACAATCAGCTCCCTAAACTCAAGCATGACCACGTAACTCTTTCTTTCTAACAGTGGAGTTATGACCCTGATAATTAACTTTAAACTCCATGTGTGGAACCAACCTTTCTGTAAATCCAGAGTAGTTTAGCTCATACCCCTCCTCTGTTGCTACCTTTGCTTGACCACTCAGCAAAAGTCTTACTAGCAATAACCCTAACCAGCTTTTCTTTCTCTCTTTTCCTTTCTTTTCCTCTCTCAACTTGCTGTCTCTAAATCCCAGAACTCCCAGCTGAAGAAGGTGAGTCCTGAGAAAGATTGTGCAGAAGTGTTTGGAGGTATTAGGAAAAACCTCTCTATCTTGAATTAGCATGGCCCCAAAGATTCCTACAGATTATAAAACTGAGTCTGTGGCTATCAGATCTCCAGATGGGACCTCAAACTTTCTATTTAGAAATAAAATCTCAGGTTTATCTGTGAATTGCCATGTGGCCTGTCCCAACCATTTCCACCAGGTTCCATCATGAGGCATAGACACAGAGCAATTCCTCTGACCAATCAGATGCCACGTTCTGTCCCTACCAAGCCTTAAGTTGTCCTATCCACGACATGTTCTGCCAAGTATTGCTTAGCACCCAATTTTCCTTTCTTGGGCCCTTAGAACTAATTAAAACCTTCTAAGAGGCATATCTGTGATAAAAGACAGCTTGGTTCTTTGAAATGCTGTTGGGCCATGTAATGGAGGCTGCTTGGTCACTGGGAGAAAAAAAATGAGACTCTTGGATGAGGCAAAGATCTCCCTTTGGGAAACAGATCAATTGGGAAGAGGCAGAGGAACAAAGATGGTTGTATACCCTGCCATTCCTCTAAGTTAATGTTTGCAACCAAGCTTCTGTTAACATGTGGTTAGACTTGCATAGACGAACCTGCCATTTCCTCAAGCGTACCTGCTAGAACTTGTTAAAAAATCTATTTCAGAGTTCTCTTTTACGGCAGGTCATTGTGGATGTTTGCAGGCCCGCTGTCCCTTCTCTCTTTCCTTACAGCCCATTGCTTTTTTGATGGGGTGGGGGTAGCCTGACTGTCCCCACCCCATCTCTACAGTCAGTACCTCCTTTGAGCCTTTCATTCCACCCTTTCTTGCTTATCAGGCAAAAGTATATGGGAGCTGGTGGTGGAACAATTTGAAGACTTGCTTGTGCGAATTCTCCTGCTCGCAGCCTGCATCTCTTTCGTAAGTGACAATGGCCTTGTAACTGAGGGAGTTTGGGAAGTCCACACAGGGCTGAAGAGGAGAGGTAACCGTTTGGGGGCAGAATGGGGAAGAAGCTGTGTCATAGGCAAGTGATAACTGCGAGCCTGCCCTTTGGGAATGCCATCCTGTGTTAGGAACACACCAACGTCCACTGAATTGGAATAGAAAGAACAGAGTTGCAGTATATTGGATTGATTTTAGATAGATGATTTAGTAATGAGTGGAGTCCTTGGTGCTCTCTGAGCTTGGTTATTTGCTTGTAGATGTTTCATTACCCAACATCATCAGTGGGAGCGAGTGTGGGGTTTGCTGCCTCTTTATAGCTGTCCTGGGCAAGCTACTGTATATAAACAAGAAGCAAACTCCACACTCCCTTGCACTGATGATGTTACCTAGTTGGGTAATGAAACGCCTGCAAGCAAACAACCAAGCTCAGAGAGCACCAAAGACTCCACAGTTCAACCATGAGCTACAGATATTCTCTTCTATTAGTAATGAGTGCCAACAAATTAGTGAATTGGGTGGGTGGGAAGAAATCACTGCAATGCCACATTTAATAAGCCCCATTCACCATAAATGGAGGGATTAACAAGGGCTTAATCTGAGTCAGGATTTAGAGCTGGAATTATTTTCACTGGCAACATAGGTAATACATGTAAATGAAAACAGTGCATCTGAGCATCTCAAATGTGTTTTTTCCTCATCAATTATTATTTAACCTTTGGGATGCTTATAGTTGTTCAATTCAATCAGGGCACTCTGTTTCTTTTTCTCAGGGCTCAAATCTGGCTTCCTTCTGCATAACAATTTAGGAAGCATGCTGGTTAGTGAGCTAATTTACCAGTTTAGCAATCCCTTTTGACTCTTTCATGCTAAAGGCAGGCACCACATTTTATCTGGCCATTTTCAAATATTTCACGAATGTTTATTTAATGACATTTACATTTAACTTCCTCTGAGAGAATAATGATATTCTAGTCTGATTTCAGCCCATCAGGATTACCAATTTCTTACTGTAAATTCACGAAACCACTTCCTTCTGGGCTTGATCCCAGAAAACAGTTTGTGTATCAGTTGTCTTCCAAATGT